TAGAGGTAAAGAATTGTATCTCCATTATTTTAGGTTTTTTAGCAAACAAGCTTATAGTTTTGTAATACTATTATAAGTTTTATAATAATTAACTCGATATTGACAAAAACTGGAGTTACGATCGTTTACCCCTAAGATACAGCTATATAGATCATCTCGAAGAGGAAGAACAGCATCAGTGGCAACTCCTCTATTAGCCTGAGCGTCTATCTTGGAGAGACAAAAATTCGCAAAACACCAGATTAGAAATGGAAATACCTAGTTATTTATCTACATTTTTGAAATCAGAACTAATAGACGAAGATACTCGGCCACGTTTTATCACAACTGTGAAATCATCCATATTGTTAATTTAATTAGCATTATGGCCTACGATCTTACAAACAAAACATCGAACTTCGTTAGTCGCGAAGAAGATTCTAAACATATTTTGCTCGTACTAAATTAACAAAGAATTGGGAAGAATGTTCTTATCATCTAATATCAAATATACTTATCTACCAAAGCTACAGTATATGGCGATATTTTGGTTGATAGATGTCGCGCCAACAAAAGAAATGAATATGCAATCCTAAATCTTTCAATTGTTTTTCTATAACTTCATGTTGTGGTAAAGAAATTAATTAGATAAAATACTCATTCAGTAGGAGAAATCAGTTATCTAAAGGGAAGAAATCTGATACACAGAAATTCCCCACTACATATCTAGAAGACAAATAAATACAAAGAACACTTTTAGGAGCTGTTAATACAAAACTCAACTTTTTGATTAAATTAAATCTTCCAAACTGATGTCGTAATTATTTTTAGATGATAATCGACAGTATCAAGCAATAGGAAAGCATACAGTATTGAACAATAAATTATTTGTAAAATCAGGTTTAATTCAATAATATCTTCAAATCACTTTCCATAACAAAACCATCCTAAAACAATAAAAGCAGCGGCATCGATAGCGTCAAAGGTAGTTCAAATTGTAGGATGAAATAAAATGCAATGACGACGATGTGAAGAACGTTTTCACAACACGAAGAAATCAAAACAAGCGATGAAGCCTTGATGTTCTTAAAACGTACTTTAAACCTTGTGTATCTTCGGAATAAGTTTTATGATGTAACTATATTTTTTTAAATCAGAGCTACCAGATCAAGATACCTTGGTATTTTCTTACAAATGCGATATCATGGCCAATTACCGTATTTTCTCGAATCTTATCCGCACTCGAATCTAATCCGCACCTCGATTTTAAAAATACAATGATGGTAAAAAAAGTTGGTTTGCCAATGTAATCCACATCCGATTGTAATCCGCATTTGATTTTAGAGCATACAAAATTTGTAAAAAGGGTGCGGATTAGATTCGAGAAAATACGGTATAACATAATGATTGATGCTCTTGCCAATACCACCTTGAGTGCTTATAGCTTTATAGGCATTAAAGCTAATACTAGTCGATGGAATTGCGTCCAAGATTTGTACCCTACCATCGTCATTCTTAGCCTATCTAGATGGATCATCGCGAAGAGAAAGAACAGCATCAGTGGCAACTCCTCTATTAGCCTGACCGTCAATCTTGGAGAGACAACGATTCTTAAAAACACCAGATTGGAAATACCTAGTTGTTTATAATATATATTGATAATTACCATTATGGCCTACGATTTTACTAACAAAACATCGAATACCACCTCTCAAATTGTAAGATGAAATAAGATGCAATGACGACGAAGTGAAGAACGTTTTCACAACACAAAGAAATCAAAGCAAGCGATGAAGCCTTGATATGCTCAAAATGTACTTTAAAAAAGTTTACCAAACACCTGCTTATAAGCGGCACTGTTTAAGGGTTTAACTATATTTTTTAAATCAAACCTACCAGATGAAGATGCCTTGCTATTTTTTTACAATTGTGATATCAGCGCCAATTGTAGCTGAGTCATTGTTGATGCTCTCATCAATACCACCTTGGGTATTTATAGCTTTATCAAAACTACTACTGATCGATGGTTTTGTAAGCTATCAACGTCATGCTTGGTCTTTCTTGAATCATCACGAACAGAAAGAACTGGTTCAGTAGTAACGTTTTGCAATACGGTTCATAACCGTATAAACAAGGGATCGAATTTCGTCCGTCGCCAAAGAGATTCTAAAATATCTTTTACTCGTACTCAATTAACAAAGAACTACTAGGAAGATATATTAAGCGATACCCCGATTTAATTAATGAAATGATGCCAATAAATGAAGTCACTTCATGTGGTAACGGTGGAATAAGTTAGATATAATTACTAGTTCAGCAGGAAAAATCGGTTGTCTAGAAAAGAGATATGTTACAATAAAATTCTCAACTGTATCTTTAAAAGACAAATAAGTATGATTATTAGATACTCGTAACGTAAAACTGATGATTTTTGAGTCAATCATCGACAGTAGCAAACAGTAAACTCTGCTATCATGAAGCGTTTAGCTTACATTAGATAGAGTAAAGTATTGAGTATAGAAGTATTCTTTGCGAAATCAGATTTAAATCAAGAATATTGATATATATTGTAATATTTTTTTGTATCTTATTTTGGTCAACAATTTGGATGTCAATAAGATAACAATCCCAATCACAATTAATAAAACCAAATGAGTAAACACGCAGTGGTTTTTAAAGTCGTAATGAGTGTTAACAAACTAAACATAATATTAAATGTGGGGAAAATGTTGTAACAAATATTAATATTTAAATGAATATAATATAATAGTAGTATAATATAAATTTTATCGAATATTAATTTGATTTCAGATAACGAAGGCTATTAACATAAAAACTATAAAAATTAATGCGTAGAGATACATGAAAATGAAACCTGTTGTGTGTTTGTACAGAATTAAAAACTATACAAAACTTCATCCCACTTGCAATGGAAAGGGATTATATTTTTTATTCAATATTTTGAATATCTACGTGAAGTATCATGATATTCCCGAAATACGTCCCGATCTAGTATTAGATAATAAATCATAAGCAAATGTATACAAAATATTCAGCTCTTTAGTACTTCGTAATTAAAAATTTGTACAATATTCGTTATTTTAAAACTGATTTATTACTAATTTATCAAAGCCCATTTGCTTATTAAGTTTGTGCCAAATTTATAGTACAGTTAATTAATAATTGTGTCCAAACATTTTTAAACGAAATTAAACAAACTAGCAAAATATCAACCTCATTCAATCGTTTTAAAAAACAAATTGGTCGGGTTTTTCACGTAAAATAAAAGCCAAATTTGATTTATTCAATTTTACTTTGTAAACTAATCTAATAAGAGGAATAAAAATATTCTTTTAAAGACTTAAACTGCATCTTTAAAAGGCAAATATGTATAAATTTGATTATTACATACTCGAAATGCAAAACTGATGTTTTTTGATTCAATCATCGACAGCAGCAAACAGTAAACTCTACTATCATGAAGCCTTTAGCTTACGTTTACTAATAACACTAGATAAAGTATTGAATATAGAACGATTCTTTATGAAATCAGATTTAAATCAACAATATTTTATATTTATTTATTATCTTATATTGGGCAACAATTTGGATGCCAATAAGATAACAATTCCAATCACAATTAATAAAATCAAATGAGTACATACACAGTAATTTTTAATGTGACAATGAGTGATACCACAATAAACTTAAAATTAAATGCGACGGAAATGTTGTAACAATTATTAATATTTAAATAAATATAATATAATAGTAGTATAATATAAATTTTATCGAATATTAATTTAACTTCAGATAACGAAGACTATTAACATAAAAATAATAAAAATGAAACCTGTTGTGTGTTTGTATTAAAAAGTATACAAAACTTCACCCCATTTGCAAAGGAAAGAGATTATATTTTTTATTCAATATTTTGAATATCTACGTGAAGTATCATGATATTCCCGAAATACGCTCCAATCTAGTATTAGATAAAAAATCATAAGCAAATGAAAATTCACAAAATATTCAGCTCTTTATTACTTCGTAATTAAAAATTTTTACAATATTTGTTATTTTAAAACTGATTCATTACTAATTCATCAAAGCCCATTTGCTTATTATGTTTGTGCCAAATTTATAGTACAGTTAATTAATAATTGTGTCCAAACATTTTTAAGCGAAATTAAACAAACTAGCAAAATATCAAACTCGTTCAATCGTTTTAAAAAACATTTTGGTCGGATTTTTCACGTAAAATAAAAGCCAAATTTGATTTATTCAATTTTACTTTGTAAACTAATTTAATAAGAGGAATAAAAATATGCTTTTAAAGACTTAAATATTTAACCATTCAAGTTTAAATAATTTTCATTTTAATTTTAATTTTAATTTTAATTTTCATTACTTAAAGAAAAGAATTTCTGTAATATGTTCCAGAACAAACTGTCATTTCTCTTAACATAGTTGTATTAAAAATGGTTCGCAGTAAAAACGATCGCAATTATAGCAATTTAAAAATTAGGTTCCTTTTTTAATTTCAGTGCTAACCAATAAAAAGTTCATTAAATTAGCAAAACAAGCCAAATTGAAATGAAGATAATAGAATTACAAACATTCATCCAATTATTTTATAAAATAAAGGGATCAAATTTTCATGGAACGTAAACCACCATTGTACCTAAAACTATACCAAAAATAACTCAAAAGGTTTTAAATTGACAATACACCCACACATTTTCCATTAAAACAATGCAAATGAAAATGCTCTCTTTTAAATTTATCAATAAAATTGTTGGAGTATTTATAACTTTAATTGACGAACAAGAAGATATATTAAAAAAATGTTTGAAACTTGTACGTTTCAATTTTAATTCAAAATTTGTTTTTCCTCCGGCTACATTTTTAATTACCGCTAATCTCAAATCGCAATTTATTTAAATTATTAATTCTAAATTCGCTTATAATTTCTTTATCAAAAGAATAACTTGCAAACTAATATAAAAAAGTTAAAAACTTACCGATACTAGTTTACTTCTTACAATCGGTTCGTCTCCCCCAAATCCACTTTCCAAAATCAATATACTTTTTTTTGTTTAAACCACAAAAAAAATAAACTTGTAGCTTCTCTACTATGTTACGAAAGATTTGACGCTATGGGGAAGATTCACTGATGTTGGTTCACTCCTCCGGATGTTATCTCTGCAGGAAGTGCGAGCGTTCTGCGAGAATTTCAACGTTCACGTGGGACGTTATATAGGGTGTTCGAAACCCCCTCTTCGCTCTTTTGCTCTATAAGTTCTCCATCCCTACGCGGTCAGCTAAAACGGGGGGCGAATTTAGGCCCCCGTAGGTGTTTAGGCGGTTGATAATCTTGCGGATATGTGTGAGTTGCGTTTGCGAAACGATTTAGTCGGAAAAACGTTTTCTGTTATAGAGATGATTGGGACGAATTGGTCCTTTTTCTTTGTTATTTTTCTCTTTTTCCATTTTTTTTTATGTGACTATGTGCGTAAAGATTCTTGTTAGTATGACTCGATTATAGAACTCATCTTTGGACTAGATAGGAAAACATTTTTATTAGGTAGTAAAAGTATTTTCGTCTAGAAAAATCTAAAATGAGATGTAGAAAGATTGAATGGATAACGATTTTTAAGTGCGCAATTTTTTGCTTTTCGTTAACGAGTTAATTTGATTGATTTTTGAGATTAATTCGATTGTTCAGATTTAAAAAGTAGAAATAAAATGTTTTTGAAAAAGAAAATCGTGTGAGTACTCGTTCTAATGGGAAATGAAGACCACTGTTGGTAGTTTTGGACATCAAAGCTCGAAAGTAGTGATAGCTTACGATCTAACCGTTCAGCAGTGCAACCATCTGCGTTCTCTCAGGAAAAAGGCGGATGCTAAAAATAAGAAAGAATGAATAGAAAGGTATTGCAATGATAATTGATAAAAATAAAGTTGAAAAATAAAATGCTGTTATTGCTGATTAACCTGTTCAACTAATAAAATAGGTAGGATTATCGTGGAAAAATTGATCAGATCTGGAAACAGCTACAGTTTAAGCGAAACGTAATATGATAATGATTGTGAAACAATGGGTGTATTGGGAGTAATCTCTTATAAGTATCTCTTATAATCAAATCTCTTATAAGATTTGGTTACTATCACTGCTGTAAGTGTAACAAGAACTACGATATTTTACATGAATACGTCCCAATGACTTGGGATTCAGAATAAATGGGCAATGGTTGAACAGGCTAAAGTTTGCTGATGATATAGTACTTATAGAAAAAAACGAAACAGAAGTAAGAAAAATTCTGGAAACAATACCGAGAAGAGGAAAGCAAACTGGTCTGGAGATAAATATGAGCAAGACAAAAGTAATGTACGTAAATTGTGAACAAAAAAATAAAATAATTGTTAATGGAAGGGAAATCGACATTTCGTATATCTCGGACAAAAGATTACAACTAAAAACACAGGAGAAGAAATAACACGGAGAATGGCAATGGGAAAAAAATGTAGGAAATGTGTGTCTTCCCCATCATGATTTATGGATGCGAGGCATGGATATTAACAAACAAAATGATTGAAAAGATTAGGATAACAGCAAGGGGAATGCATAGAAGGATGATTGGCATTACGAAGAAAGATAGAAAAACAAACGAATGGATAAGGGAAAAGTCAAACATTGAGGGTATTGGAGAAATAGTATTGGACCGAAAATGGAACTGGGCGGGTCATATTATAAGAGTAAAAGATAAAAGATGGACCAAGAAAATTTTAGAATGGCACCCAATGGACAAAAAGAGAAGAAAAGGAAGACCAACTGCCAGCTGGGAAGATAAGTTTAAGAGGAGTAACATGGCACAGGGTAGCTTGGGGCCGACAAGAATGGAATCGAATGAAAGAGATATACAAGGAAGTATGGCTTTACACGGACTAAATATCACGAGTATACGAACTCAGTCCCATTACGGGAATGCCACGGTTAACACCGAAATAGTCATCAAAACAAACAAGAGTGAAGATGAAATTATAATTTGTTAAATTTTGATTTTGATTTGTTAAATTGTATCATAAATGAAAGGTTAAGTATACAATATTAATTTAGTGTTAAATGTACAAAAGTTTATATGAATTGCTTCTTTTTGTTGGTTAAAATAAATGGCTATCTATCTATATCTACGTACCTTCTACGCCTAGATCATTCTTTGATCTGATTGAAACTCTAATGAACCATTTTATGTCGAATCAGACCAATTTTCCTGAAATGTTTCCAAATCGTATAAGACTTGTATGATGATAAACCGAGATTATGCCCAGCGCACTTTTTAAAAGACGTTCAATACATATCTGTTTAAAGGATTTAGCACATTGTGACAATTATTGTAAAGTGTCTTCCATCAACAGGTTCCATTTTTAATCTCGCACCATATTTGAACTGATAAAATAATGCCCACAATGATATCACATTTAACAAAAGTTGTGAGGTTATGAAAAATGTATCGATATATGCTCGCACAACATATTAAATTCACTATAAAAATGGTGGGAATTTCGCGGAGACAGATTGTAAACTGCTTTTTTTCGTACTGCTTTTGGTCACGATCAAGCGTTTTTTCGCCTTGCTATAATAAAGTTGCTGTAATAAAGAGTAGCTGTAGTAAAGACTCCAATTCGTGTTTGTCCGGTCAGGTCTGCTGAAGTTATTGCCACCATAGTTGAGAGTGTGTATGAAAACCCAGGTTTGTCCATGTCAAGACGTTTACAGGAATTGGGCTTACCAAAATCTAGTTTGCACCGTATTTGTATAAGGCCCATCTTCAACGGTCTGGTTATGTCAACAAGCAGAATTGTCAGATTTGGAGCTCCAAAAACCCAAGACAAGTGGTCGAGCACGCACTTCATCAACAACGAGTGACAGATAGGTGCAGTTTAGTGGTTTGAACCTTATTTCTTCGAAAATAATCTTGGTGCAGTGATTGGATTGATTACGTTACCAAACTATGATATCTGATTTTTTTGACCCAAAATTGATGCTATGGATGTGGACGACATTTCATAACATGTCACACCGTTCCACGAAAACTTTAATTTAATTTATGTGTAATTTCTCGAAATGGAGACATCAATGGGTAAGGTCAACGGTCAGAGGGTATGTTAAAGGTAAGGTCAACATCAACGCTCCAGCGAAGATTCAAGTTATTAAAGACAACATAAGAATTGAGAAATAGAGATACAATTATGCGAAAACGTGATGAAAAATTTCATTCAAAGAATGACCGTCTGTAAACAAAGTCGAAGCGGATATTGGGCAGAAATTATGTTCCATTATTAAACTTCAAGTTTGTAGGAGCCAAAGCAGAAATCATAAATTTAGGAAATCATGAAGATCAAGAGGAGAAGACGTAGGAGACGGAGGAAGAGAACAATGCAACAGGCTTTAGAAGTTTCCATATGAAAAAACATTTAATTGGAAAACAAAGGGTCTATAGAAGGAGGCAGTTCCAATTCCTATCTTTTTTTATGTAAAAACGATCTTATCTCCGTTGTAACTATTTGTGCAAGTATTTGATGTAACTAAGAAAAATGAAATAGATAACATTACACACACAGCAATGAGCATTGCACGGACTGAGCTTGTTGCAAGCACCTCATCAAGAGACAAATTTAAATTTATTTTAACAAACATACATTGCTGTTATAATGACAACCTCAACATTTGCTAAAGTAAGACCTTTATATGACAAGTTTAACAAGAACTTTCAAAGTTGTTCCACATTTTCAAAACCATAGCATAGACTTTGATGAATGTAAGGTGCCATATTTTGGTAAACATGAGTGTAAGTAATTTATTAAAGCAGTTCTAGTTAAATTTAGTCCTTTTCTGTATCACGTCATTTATGATAGTTGTCTTACTTCATGGATTCATGGAATCGGCACAAATAGAGAAAAGAACATAACTAAATGTCTAGTTTTGCCCAAAACTGACATAAAAAAGTGCGTGGTGATTGCGATTTCTGTTCTTGCATAAATAATATCGTAATTGTAAGATGATATTATAATAATACCATAAACGTTGTTCATCAAGTATCTTGAGATCTATAATACTGATTGGTGTAGATCGCTGTGACCAAAATGTTAGTCTCTACAGAACATGCATAAGAAGAAAAACTAGTATTTCTATCTAATTACTTTTGTTTAATCTTTTTTTTTAATTAGTCTTCTAATTCGTGTAATTTAGTTTAATTACAAATTACAGAAAGTCTCCTACATAGCAACATAAATAATAGGAAGAGAGCATCTTTAGAAAACCTTGACTCCCGTTTTGATGCTCAGAATCATTTCCTCATTAGACAGGAAAAGGAGACAGGCTCATCCCAAACGTAAGGGACTAGTGCAAGAAAAAGCACGATGAGATTAACTATTACACCACACAATTTACGACGGGCCACGGCTACTTCCGAAACTACTACGACTTTCCTTCATGCCCCTATCCTGACGACAGAATTTATGGCTAGGGACGAACTGGTTGCCGAGGTTGGACCGATAACACTGGAAACTAGCAGAAACTAAAACACTGGAAACTAACTAGAAGAAAAAAGAAATGGACGCACTTGACATCTAATTTGACATGTAGCTGCAAGAAGACGACAGAGGGGCCTCTAGGGCTCAAGTGCTCCCTCCGCCTCCTATAAGTCAAGATGTTCTCATAATGAACTAAGAAAGTTAATTTTTTGTTTCTATCTTATTTTAAACTCACCTAAGCAAGTGGTGATACCTGCTGGACCGGAAATAACTGCCTACTTAACAGGAGATTGGATGAAGGTGTCGGAATCTGAAGGGGAGATGATGCTGGGTGGATAACACCGACAAGTTCATATGTTTCCCTGAAGTAACACCCTAAGGTGTTGGCCTGGGGAAGGGAGGGGGAGTCTGTACTAAGCAATAAACTGTCCCAGTCGGTCAGTCGAAGGACACACCATCACGACAGCTCTACGCGCCAACACTAATTAGTGTTGGCGCGTATATTATTCTAAGTGTCACAACAAGAAATTCAGCTATAATGACAAAATAAAGATCACCAAATTATATAGACCGCAAACACCAGTGAGTAATAACTACTACTTGTGTCTGCGCTGTTTTCGAGTTTTTCATTCCGACTTATATTTTAAAAAACCCGCAGGAACAAGTCTAGGTCGAGTAAGCGCATTCAACAGAAC